CACAACCCAATGGAAATATCCCACAACACAACAAAATCAGCACAACACAATGGAAGCAAGCCGCAACACAATGGAAACAAGTACAACACAAAAGAAACAAGAGGCAACACAATGGAAACAAGCCGCAACAACAAAATCAGCAAAACACAAATGAAACAAGCCACAATACAATGGAAACAAGTCGCAACACAATGGAAGCAACCCGCAACACAATGACTCATTTATATATCACATTATATATCACAATGACTCATAAATAACATTTTAAGTTAAAGAAACCTTCCTCAGTGATAAGTATTTGTTGAAAGTTAAAGTGGTAGAATAGCTAAATATGCTCAATTGAACAAACCAAATAGTGACTTAAAAATGTTTTAATATAAAACAATTAAAAACACTACATCAATGTTTTATTGTGTCATAAATGTACACATCCTCATGATTCCCAATGTTTTGGCCAAACACACCAAATTAAATGCATGTGCAAGATGTAGATGTAGATGTAAAATGTACACTTCAACATTAGATATTCCAATCAATCTTTAAATTAGAGTGTCTGACAAAATAGAAGTAAGATAGTTTTAGTGTGTAGTAGACGGTAATGCCAAGTTACTACTTAGTGTTGGTTTTATATAAAATAATCCATCCCAGATTTATCTTTTACTATTTTTTTGTCCAGCATTACAGTTTGCTTAAATGTATTTAGATTTGCAATGTAAAGCATTTAATCAGACACTTTTATCCATAGCAACTTACAAAAAGTGCTTTAGCTTTATATAAAGTATGCACTTTTTTTATATTTTAAATAGTGTTTTGTATGTGTGTATGTAAGCAATTGGGCATCAAATACAGTACAAGATACCTTAGTCTGTCCAAATTGGAGTGGAGTATAGCAATTCCCAAATTAAGACAAGATCAGTGTACTACATTCTGACTAGCCTCCCATAAAGTGTACCATTCTTAATTTCCACATGGCTTTAATTTTGCCTCAAAACAAAGCACAATGTTAATTGAACTAAATGGGTTCATTTATGTGTTAGAAATGGGTCTGCAGAAGTCCCTGTTCTACACATCTCCCAGGGTCACTTTGCCACGCGCAGCAGAAGCGAGAGCCATTCATCACTATGAGCTAATGAGAGCAAGTTCGAAGAGCAATAAAGACACATAGTTAAAGTTTACACCCTTGCAGAAGCACTGAAATGGCAGCCAACGTAGGGCCAAACGATCGCTCCAGGTCAAACAAAAACCATTTTGTCCTGTGCCCTTCAAGCAAGGTTAAAGGGTTTAGTTCACCCAAAAATAAAAATTCCATCCACCCCTATGTTTTCCCAAACCTGTATGACTTTCTTCCTAACATAAAAGGTGATTTCATTTGAAGAAGAATGAGGACCGAAGAATTTAAGCTTCAAAAATGACAAAATCCTAGGGCTGGGCAATATGGCCAAAAATGTATCACAATATTTTACTTTTTAATTTTTTTTCCATATCACACAACATTGCTATGTCTCACGATATTAATTTATCATTAAAGGGATAGTTCACCCAAAACTGAAAATTCTGTCATTAATTACTCACCCTCATGTCGTTCCAAACCCGTAAGACCTTCGTTCATCTTCAGAACACAAATTAAGATATTTTTGATGCATTCCGAGAGCTCTCTGGCCCTACATAGACAGCAAGGATCCTACCACGATCAAGGCTCAGAAACATAGCAAGGAGATTGTTAAAATAATCCATGTGAGGTTCAGCTGTAATTTGACGAAGCTACGAGAATACTTTGTGCGCAAAGAAAACAAAAATAACAACTTTTTGCCACAAACTTTTAAAAAACATGTTTCAAGGTACAAGTTTTTTTGAAGATGCAGCATTATCATCTCTGTGTGAACTACAAAAATGTGAATTAGTGAAAATGGTAATGTCATGCACCTGTTTATTACGTGTTCAGTGTTTCTTTACAAAGTGACATCGCCAACTACTGGCCTGGCATGTATAATACAGCATTCTAGGTCATTTTTGTAGATGCGTGTGAACAGGCATCGTTTTGACAGAGTTGTCATCTGTACAAAAAAAAGCACAAAAGAAAACCTTTTTTAGCACATCATTGTCGTGTAAACGTATCCTGAATGATTTGTTCGCTAATCTTGCTGATCTGGTTTAGGACTAAATTTTCATTGAATTACAACATAACGTTCATTCCCAATCCTTATTTACTTTCGTTATATGGAAAATAGTGGGCAATATATTCATTGAATATTCACCTTTTATGTTCCATTGAAGAAATAATAAGAATTTAGGGGTGAACTAATCCTTCTACAGATTTGAGGCAGGTAGCGGCAGCACTAGATGTCTAGCATACTACGCTATCTGCAGTGGGGGCTTAAGATTCACGATTCCAGGTGGCGATTTATTCAGTAGAAGTTCAGAGGCGACCAAATTCACCCTAGTCTGCGCTCGCTCACTCAAAGTTAAACCCAGGAGACAAATCAGCCTGCCGCAACCCCTGCCGTTTTTAAACTTGTTGTATATCGCCAAGGATTGAGTCACTTTGGTCCTCGCAGGGCTGTGTGAGATATGACAGGTCTCTGGTAGCTGTTCAACATTCGTTTGTAATGATAAATCCCCCTCCCTCCTGCTGCCTATTGAAAGTCAGTATAGAACACTGGCTTTGAATTGATGTTGCCTGGGCTCCAAAACTCAAAGCAACATGACTTACTGCGGATGTTTCTGTGATCCGGCATGGCGTAAACACTGGTTTGCAATTCCTCGATTTGACTGCATGCAGATGTCATGTGGCAGTAATATTTAAAACACACACAAACAAATATATATATATATATATATATATATATATACACACACAGAAATGGAATGCTCAACACAGTATTCTGTGAATATTCGGTTGCTACAGAAAATGCATTCTAAAAGCTTTTTTCAGTGACATTAATTTATTAAAGGATTTTTCCAAAGCTTATGATTCAGGATATTAGAAAAATGGTTTTAAGTGATGCACCACTAATGGCATTATAGGTCATCGTAACAAATGAAGCACCAGCAGTAAAACCATAAAGTACTGAATTGTTTAACCTATAACCTGCAATATGTTTTAAAACGTTTTTTTTTTTTTTTTATCAAACCTATCCTGTCTATGTATATTATTTCTGAATAAAATGTGAAAGATGCTTTCCATGCAAAACATCCACAAAGGTAAATGGTCTAGGGTGTTGCTAAAGGGTCGTTAAGGGTTTTTGGGTGGTTTTTAGGATGTTGCTAGGGTGATCTGCTTGGTTGCTAGTGGGTAACTTACTAGTCTCTATAGCTGTTAATTAATTCCATCCAATTGCAAAAAATTGGAATATTGCAAAAAAAAAACTAAAAACAACTGCTAATAAAGCAGCTCTTCCATCCCTTTATTATATGTAATGAATTACTTATAGTTTAAAGCATGCACTCTAAATGCTCTTATAGAAAAGAGAAGGCAACATTTTAACATCGTTAAAAACAAATAACCCAAACCCAAACCTAACCATGATAACTAAAAAAAAGCACATCAAAGTCGTACGATATGTTACAATTACACCATATCATCCAAGTTTTCATGAGGTTATTTAGTCACACAACTTTTTTGATGTGCTATTGAAGTGCGCTAACCAGACAGGATTTAAACATTGGCAACTAAAATCGTAAGTTCGGTTTAAAGGTGAAAAAAACATGTAAAAAGCACAATTTTCTCCTGATTCTAACACAAAACCACAATGTTTGGCATATACTTTTGTGGCTATCAGAGTAAAAGGAAAGCTGCTGCTCTCTGTATCATTTTCCGTTGTCTTCTTTATTGTTCTTACATAAATTGTGCATGCTTTTTTCGCAATATTACATCAAAAGGTCAGAAAAAGCCCATATATGTACCCGCCTATAGGCCCTCCATTTAATTGGTCGAAATTGGACAAAAGAGACGGATTAAAACACCAGGTGTAAACAGGAATATGTCTACTTGTGGTCCGATCGACCAAAACGCATCTTAATCCTAGATGTTAATCGGCCCTAGGAATTTATTCAGGAAAAATATAAACTTTTTACCGAATAATATATTTATGCACCTTAAACGAGCATATGTTTTTAATGTGCATTTTGGAAATTGTATTTGCACCCTGGTCTCTCCAGACACCATTTTAAATCCAGTAGCCCACAGTTTGCATAAAAAATGTAGGCAGAAACCTGGTTTATGATATTCTGGACTGAATATCCTTTGTTTTCCCGTTTTATCGTTTAAGTCTGATCACTTCTCAACAATGTCAACGATTTAAGATATAATTTATGTAGCACAAATGGTGTGGCCTAGAGTATGATTTCTGGGATACAGTTCATACATACTTGGGGCCAGGTTTACTAACAGCTTGCGTCAGCGCAAATCGTCTTTCAGCATTAAAATACTACTAGGACGCGCAGTGAAGACACAGTTATTTTTGCGCCTGACCAAAATTTATGGGAGGAGAGTAGTCAAGTTACTTGTATTTGCGCCATTATTTAACGCCAAAAAAAGCATGTCTTAACGCAGACGTTAATTTGCGCTGCTCTTGGGTCATTATGGAAATGATCTGGCTGTGTCTGTGTTCTTTAATGTGCACATTTTTAGTAAATCACCCGCAGAATTTTCCCTTCCCTTCGACCCTTTTATGGAATTGCGCTCTAACACTAATTTGCCCTGTATAGTAAATCTGGCCTTTGGTTTGTAAATTGTATAAAAGCAATGGTTTCAAATCAGCAAAGCTGTGCTGTTTCTCAGCGAAAAGATGAGTGGTATCAACAGAGAAATGAAATGACTGCCTGCTCCAGCTGAGTTGCTTACCACTGTATTTAGTGAACTGTGGGAAGTAATGAGTCTGCGCGTCTTATATTAACACACGACCCATAATTGGCTAATTATAGCGGTTGTTCCGCTGGTGTTTAGAGCACAAATCCAAAGCGTCTTCTCACGCCGTGCTCTCCGTCTCCTCCTCCTCCAGATCCCAACGCGCTGACGCAGCCCGGCCCCGACCACGCGCTCATCGGCGGAGTGGTGGCCGTGGTGGTCTTCATCACCCTGTGCTTCATCATCGTCCTGGGCCGATATCTGGCCAGGCACAAAGGTACGGCTTCCCTCCCCTCTCTCCTCTCACCCCCTCACAGTGTGCAAAATGCTTCAACATGTCCACTGTTGTACCTTATGTGTCTATGTGACCTATGTGGGACTGTGTGGACAGGGACATACTTAACCAATGAGGCCAAAGGAGCGGAGGACGCCCCTGACGCAGACACTGCCATCATCAATGCGGAGGGGAACCACGCACATGCAGAGGAAAAGAAAGAGTACTTCATTTAGCACCTCTGTTTTTTTCTGTTCAGTATTTTCACGGCAACACTGCGAGCCAGCAGAGGAGGCGTTATAGTCCCTCACAGCACTAGTCTGGTCTGGCTTTTCTGTCTGTTTGTCTCCTCGACTCCAGTCGGAGTCGTTTCGCCAACCTCTTTAAGGCCAAATTCGACACGCCACCTGCTACAAAAGAATGTTGCCTTTGGTTAAACCAATCCTAATCGACCAAAAAAAACAAACAAACACACACACGAAAAAATACTTCGAAAAAAAAATCAGTTGAGTTTGTAACTGTAACACCAGGTCCATTTAGGCCAAAAAACCCTATCCCACCCTTCCAAAATGACCCCCGTTTGATTTGCCAAGTGCCAAAATATACAGACATGTGCTTGTCATGTTTGTTGCTGTGTTTATTCATTTAATTTCCCAGTGAATGCTGATTTCTCAACCACCCTCACTGTGCCTGTTATATACCTTTTTACAGATATTACCAGGGAGCGGCAAGAAATGTGGTTCATCTCAAGTCGGAAAACCTTGGCTTTGCCAATAATTACGCTTTAAGACAAGAATACGTGAGATGTATAATGTAAATATCATGTACTGTCTTTGTTTTTGTGTGCGTGTCTGTTGTTTTCCATTGTGAAAGTGGGGTTTTTTGTTATTTATTTATTTATTTTTTTGAAGTACACTCTTAAAAATAAAGGTGCTTTGCGATGCCATAGAAGAACCTTTTTGTCTAAATGGTTCCATAAAGAACCTTTAACATCTGAAGAACCTTTCTGTTTCACGAAAGGTTCTTTGTGGTGAAAAAAGGTTCTTCAGATTACAAAAAGGTAAGAAAGAGATGGTTCTTTAAAGAACCTTTGACTGAATGGTTCTTTGTGGAACCAAAAATGGTTCTTCTATGGCATCGCTGTGAAGAACCTTTTGAAGCACCTTTATTTTTAAGAGTGTACGCCCTGTAATAAAGAATGTGCCCAAGAGATACGGACAATTATGTAACGCACGGACACCCGAAACAAGCCGGAGGATTGAAAATGGCAGGAACTCGATGAAGCGCAAATGAGAATTGGTGTGTAACCATTAGAAGTGAGATTATTTTCTATTTCCATCATACCTGTCTGTATATTCTTGCACTGTTAATATCCCTCCCCCCACCCAGCTCCGAGCGTTTATTTCAAACCTGAAAATGTATCAAACGTAAGCACAAAGTCATTGTAAAATGTCATTGGTTTAGACAGTCTCAGGATGAAAAGAAGAGCCTAATTGAATTTGTCTTTTATCACTGGAGTGAATGCATTTTTTGTTCTCACTTTGTGAATTGATCTAAATGGCCATTTGTTCGACGTTTGAATGGAAGTTCGGCATTGTTTCATTTTGATTCGCTGACCGACCCTTGTTAATATTGCTGTATATTACTTTGCTACAGTGATTATTGGTGGAATATTGTTAAACTATAGGATCCCATATATATATATATATATATATATATATATATATATATATATGAGAAAACAAATGTCAAAATATCTATTTCAAGTGTCCCATACTTTTAGTTCATATTAGTGAGGAAAATATTTGTTTGTTAGTTTTTGTCCCAACCCAGGGAATGTATATAATGTGTATACTTTAGCATTTAGTAAGCTGTTTATTTAATTGAATTTGAATTCTTTATTGCTCTGTTTTATGCTACATGTGTACGACTCCATTTCAGCCTCTCAATACTAAGTACATCCTGATGGATACTTGTCATTAATACTAATTTATTGGGTAAATCTGATGGACAAACACAATACATTACTATTAGTGCTTTTTCTAAGCTTGTGAACATAGGATCGTTTGTTCATGAGAAGGTCAGAACAACAATCACCATTATTGCCTTTGTGTTTGCAACAGAACATACGACCACACATTGAAGCTCTGGAGAAGCGTAATCTTCAATGTACGTTTTTATGAAACATGTTTCCAGTGTTCATACTTTATTTCACTCTTTATAACATCAACTAGAACGAAGACATTTTTCTAAGAACTTTTGATTTGCTTTATTGTTTTTTTTTTGCTGTATGGGAAAATGTGTGAGGTTGCTTTTACATTAAATATCCGACTTTTTCAAACTATGCCTCTGTAAGAAAAGAACAAAAAAACTCAGAGCATTGAGTAAAATATGCACAAACAAAGATTTGTGTTTTCTTCTTCATGCAACACATAATTTCTGTCTAAACATTATATATATATATATATATGTGTGTGTGTGTGTGTGTGTGTGTATATATATATATATATATATATATAAAAAAAAATAAAAAAAAAAATATATATATATATATATACACACACATGCACACATTTATAATATATATAATTGTTATATAATGTATATAAAATAAATATGCTGTAATGATAACATAAAAAGGCATATCGTTCATAATTCAATAACTAATTTGAATGCAATGATGAATATGCAAATAATGTTGAAATAAAATATATTGTATTATTATTATAATATAATAATTATAAATTATATTATATTAAATATAATATATAAAAATTATTAATATATTATTAATTAAAATTAAAATACAAAAATGAAAACGTTTAGATGATTTATTTATATAAATTACAAGCAGTCAAATTGTTTGCATTATATTATTTAGGTGCTTAATATGTGATTAAATCAGATCCTTGAGTTGCAAAAAGGGAATTTTTTTTTTTTTACACATGCTGAAGTGGGCTTATACTATATGAATTTCATGGCTACATGCTGCCCCCAAGAGCCGGATGCTCTCAGTGCACGAGTATGTGGAGGGTCTTCTTCTCTCAAGGCTTTGTTTATTTTCTCCAACTTTAAGTGGCTTTCTGCTGAAACTTTCAAATCCTGTCCTTCTTTCCACTGTACCACCATGGCGACAGCTTTACGTAATCCATAGTGCGAGTTGGCAGAGAAATTACAGGGAAGGATTTGAAGCGATGAAAATACTGGGAAGGAGCAATGCAGTGTTCAACCTTAAATCTAGACTGAGGCTTAACAGAATAACCGACACAAAACCATTACATTCCTCTGCGCTCGCAAAGATGGTGTGCTGTGTGTTTAAATGTTAGTTAATGCTGGTGGGCCAACTTCAGTTGATGGAATTAACCATTAAGAATAGATCGACTTTACAGCACAACAATGGAAACTGGTCTATTTTCACATGGGTTTTATGGACAAGTTTGGAGTTGTAGTAAATTAAAAAGCTAAACCTCACTGATTATAAACAGAACATGAGCTATTGTAGTTGTTGATGATGTTTAGTAATAGTATTACTATCACTAACACTACTAATATTCACCATAATCTTAAAAATAATGGTCATAATGGTCATGGTGTTTAGTTACAAGTTGTTGCTAGTTGACAATACACATATATCTCAGTAACCATAAGGATTTGAATAAGAAGTTCAAACATCTAGTTCAAAGTTATCGTAATTCCAGTCATTCTAATTCAAATGATATTCAGCAAACTAAAATGAATATTTCTCATATATCTACTGGGTAACAACTGAACACAATTAAACCACACTGATATACATTCAGACAAGAATCTAATTATATAATTAAGATATATTTTAATGGAAAGGATCATTTTTATATCCATGTCAGATTGGGGCAAGTTGTCACACTTTTACTGGTTTTATTTATTTCTTAAGCTTATTTGTCACAATATTTTGGGCCAAAATAATGGAGTTTTTAACATGTTGCCAACAATCCATTAGTATCACATGTACATTAATACAGCCTAAAACGTATTATATGATATTTAATGGCAGGTTTTGAGTGTAACAACATGGTCTGCATAGTAGGTGTTTAATGAGCTGTATCTTTTCCCCTGGACAATATTGGTTAAATATTCAATAGCTTTCCACTGGAATGTACTTATTCATAAAACAAACCCACCCTGAGAAATATTCACTGCAGCAAAAAAAAAAAATTTAAGTGTGACAACTAGCCCCGGTCTCCCATGTGCTATATATCTCATCTTTTACTGCGAGAGTTTTACTAATTCATCTCAAGCTTGTTGAAACCTGCCATCTGTGTAAAATCCTAAAAGACTTAATTATTAGGATTGATATTTTCCCAGAGTAGTTAACATGGAATATTTTTTTGGCCCGCTTCCAGTTTGCTGTTCGGCTGCAGTTGAGTTTTCAAAGCAGCGGCGAGGCAAAAAATCTCCAAGTAGGTGGATCTTTGTGAAACAGGGTGGATTTCCATTCTGTGCCTCCAATCAATGTTACTTACTTACAATTAAATTATGTCAATGTGGGTTTTTGAATGAACAAATAATCCCAATTTGGGTGAGGACATCAAACTTGAAAAGATACACTTTATTATGAATGTTTACGAATCAAACTCAAAAACTCAGAGACATACTGATATAAAAGAAAAACATAAAATGCCATGTAAGGACCCAAAATTCAGAATCTTTTCAGAATCTGTTCATTTACACGAACCATCTGAAAGAATCAATGAATCAGGCTTTCCAAAGCTACATATAAGAGAATAAGAACTGTTTAAAACAAACTGATTCACTAGAATGAACCTGGCTTTCCAAAGCTTCATACAGTACTGTATATGAGAGAGGTCCATTTAGGATGAATCAAATCACTAGAATGAATCAAACTTCCCAAAGCTACATATGAGAGGAGGAGCGTTTAAAACAAGTTGATTCGCTAATGAAATTAATCTGATTTTCCAAAGCTACAAACTGTATGAGAGAGGTTAGTTTAGGACAAATCGATTCACTAGAATGAATCAATACATTCCAAAGCTATGTAGGAGAGAATGAGGACAATTTAAAACAAACTGATTCACTAATGAATCTGACTTTTCAAAGCTACATACTGTATGAGGGAGGTTGGTTTAGGACAAACCGATTCACTAGAAGAAGGAATCAAACTTTCCAAAGCTACAGTAAATAGGAGAGAAAGAAAACCATTTAAAATGAACTGATTCACTAGAATGAATCTGAATTTTGAAAGCTACATACTACACAAAAGAGTGGTTCATTTAGGATTAACCTATTCACTAAAATGAATCAAACTCTTTAAAGTTACATACGAGAGAGAAGTCTGTTTAGGGCAAACTGATTCACTAGAATGAATCAGATCTAGAATGAATTCACTAGAATTTTTGAGATCCTGGGGAGTTTTATGACTCTTTGTCTCTAAGCATGGTATTTCGCATATGTAATTCGCTTGGGTGTTGATGCACAAATTAGTAAAGATTCTTAGGACATCAATATGTTGCATAGGTATCAGCATGTAATATGCACTCTCAGTTAGATCATCCGAAGATGAATTCATAGAGACCAAACATGATATAGGTGAGGTTATATTAACTAGTGGTCTATCATAACATGCATAAAACAGCATACACTACAACAGACAATATACAAGAACAGTAATGGTATACACAATGACCTGAATGATATGTGTATTCAATCAAAGAAAGGTTTTCCTATGAATTAATTAGTAGAAAAGTCAATTTCTACTGTGCATTTGTGCCTCTTGCTTCTGGAGAATGCAGCTGAGAGTCTGCTTGCATTCCACAAAGTTGTAAATGTATCGGGTTACCATGAAACCAGGGTCCTGTTCGGCGTCCTGGGGTGTTACAGAGTATTTGTGA